TCCTGCAGACACCGTGCGTGACCATTCATCCCCCTGCATAAGTAGGTACCTAATGTTTTTTAATAAGACATTTGATACTTTTTATTATCGTGGTAAAATACACACAACACAAAATTAACCATTTTTAAAGTGTACAGTTCAGTGGCATTAAGTACATTCACCATGTTGTACAGCCATCATCATTACCTAGTTCCAGAATTTTCCGTCACCCCAGATGGAAATGCTGCATCCATTAAGCAGTTGCTCCCTATCCCTCCTCAGCCCCTGGCAACCACTGACCTGCTTTCTGTCTTTAGGGATGTGCCTATTCTGGACATTTCCTACAAATAGAATGTAAAGGAGAAAACTTTGGTTTTACTTTACATTGCTTACAACACTTTACTCACAATGTTTCCCTTCGGACACTTCTGGTCCCTCAACGTGTGGGTGTTTTCCCCACACCAAGCAATTCTGCAACACCAGCTGGTACCCTGCAATTTAACTCCGTCCTGACCCCATCTACCAGGAGACAGCGTCAGACCCCCCAGGCGAAGGGCTCAGCCACAGGCTGTCCTGTTCTCCAGTGCCGATGGCACCATCACCTGTGCTACTGCTGCCATAGGCTGACCCTCCCCTCAGGTCCCATGAATTTGCTAGCGCAGCTCACAGAACTCAGGAAAACATTTAACTTATTAGATTTCATTATTATTAAAAGAACAGTTTATTACAAGAACAGAACTCGGGGACATTCAGAAGGAAGAGATGTGCAGGGCAAGGTGTGTGGGAAGGGGTGTGGAGCGGCCATGCCCCTGGCATGCCCCAGCACCTATGCGCGCCCACCAACCCGGAAGCTCGGACCCTGTCTGTGTGGGTTTTTATGGAGGTACCGCTGCATAGGCACGACTGATCAAAGTCCTAACCCTGTAGTCACGGGCAGTTCCTCTAGCAACCAGCCCCATTCCCCAAAGTCTCCTCATTAACATAAAATCAGGTGCCATTGAAAGGGGCTTGTTAAGAATTAATTCCAAAGGACACCGGTGTCTCTCTCATCTCCTAGGAAATTCCAAGGTTTTTGAGAGCTCTGTACCAGGAATGGGAGGAACACCAATTTTCTGTTTCTTATTATAAATCACAAAACCACATGGAATCACCCAATCTGTGGCCTTCTGTGTCTGGCTTGTTTCACAACCTAATGTTTTCAAGGGCCATCCGTGTTGTAGCGTGCACACACCACATTCCGTTTATTCACTTGCTGAATTTCTTAATTATCTTTAACAGTTTTTCTGGAGTTTTTAGGATTTTCCATGTATAAGGTCACATCACCTGTGAATAGAAGGAGCTTTACTCCTCTCTTTCCAACGTGGAGGCCTTTATTTACTTCCTTGCCTAACCGCTCTGGTAGGAACTTCCAGTCCTACGCTGAATGTTAAGTGGTGAAACTGGCATCTTTGTCTTGTTCCTAATCTCGCGGCAAAATTCAAAATCTTTTTGACTTGGCTGTATTTCCTGATGTTCTTCAGTGTATGTGCACCACTTGCACACTCGTGCAATAAAAAAAGATGAATTTTTAAAAAGACGTCAATGCCTAAAAATGTTTGGGTAAATTTAAAGCGCATTCTTCCCCCAGAGAGGAAAATAACTACAAAGACTGTCTGTTCTGGTTGTCAAATTCATCAAGATAACAAACTAAAGTCAAGTATGATTTAAAAGTTTTAAAAGATGTGCAGCCCTCATTGGTGGTACACAAACCTGGTCAGACCCGGGCTGAGAGGATGGCAGTCAGCCCCACCCAGCAAGGGGAGCCCCAAATAGAGAGACTGAGCCCGACTGCCCTGAGGGTGGCTGACAGTGTCCGGCACCTGCACTCGGTTTCGGCTGCTGTGTCCTGCCCTCTGCTGCACGAAGGGACAGCACGAGGGGCTGGGTGGGGTCGGAGTTTGGGGTGCATCACTCCAGGATGGGGCAGGTGAACAGAGACAGAAAAGGGCTGGACCCACCAAGGACACAGTGTGAATGACTGCATTTCAATGTACTGAGCCACCAACAATTGAACGATTTCATCTGCAGCAATGAATGGACCTAGAGGTTATCGTACTGAGTGAAGTCAGTCAGATAAAGACAAGTATCACATGATATCATTTACATGCGGAATCCAAAAAGATGAAGACTTAGAAAACAAATTTACGGTTACCACAGGGGAAAGCGTGTGTTTGTGGGGATAAATCAGGAGACTGGGATGAACAGATACACACACTGCTATATATAAAATAGATAAACAACAAGGACCTACTGTAGAGCACACAGAACTGTACTCGTTATCTTGTAATAACCTATAATGGAAGAGAATGTAAAAAAAGAATACATATATTTACATATATATAACTGAATCACTTTGCTGTACCCCTGAAACAATGGAAATCAACTATAATTCAATTAAAAAAACAGAATAGAAAATAGTATATGTCACACCTAGGTTAAGCAAAAAATAAATAAATAAAATTAAAAAAGAAAAAAGAAAAATTTAAAACATCATAGCATCAAAAACACAGAACAGGAATACAGCTAACAAAAGATGTTTAAGATCTTTATTTACACTGAAAACGGCATGGCATTACTAAAATTAAAGATATAAAGAAACAGAGACATATTAAGTTCATGTTTTTAAGACTCAACATTCTGAAGATATTTGTTCTCCCCAAACTGACCTATAAAGCCAATGAAGTTCCAATCACAACAATCCCTCCACCAATTTTTCAGATAAAATTACACTGAGGTGCAGTTAAGAAAATGAACAGCCATGCCCCAGACTGGGAGAAAATGTGTGGGAAACAAGTATCTGACAAAGACTAGTATCTGGGACACAGAGGGAATTCCTACCACCCAGTGGGTAGGAATTCCTATCTACCCAACAGAGTGATAAACAGCCCAATTTTATTTTATTTAATTAATTAACCAATTAATTTATCTTGGCCATGCCACAAGGCTTGAGGGATCTTAGTTCCCTGACCAGGGATCGAACCTGTGCCCTCGGCAATGGAAGCGCCGAGTCCTAACCACTGGACCGCCAGGGAATTCCCAAACAGCCCAATTTTAAACAGGGCAAAACATGTGAGCAGAGACTTCCCGGGAAAGATACATAAATGGCCAGTAAGTATAGGAAAAGACACTCAATATCACTGTACATTAAGAAACACAAAATGAGATGGAACACATATTCACTAGAAAGTCTAAAATCATAAAAGACTGACAATGCCAAATACTGGTGAGAATGTGGAGCAGCAGGAAGGCTTATGTGCTGTTGGCTGGAGGGTAAAATGGTACAACTACATCGGAAAACGGCTGGGCAGTTCTTAATAAAGTTGAACACTTACCGTAAGTTCCAGAAAGTGTGCTCATACTTGTTCGCCCACGAGAAACGGAAACACGTGTACTTGTACACAAATGTCCACAGCGGCTTCATTCGTAATAACCAGATTGAAAACAGCTCAAATGTCCCATCCACCAACAGGTGACAGATGAACTGGCTGTGAGACCACGGAGTATCATCAGAAACAAAGAACAAATCCTGATGACGCAACAACACGGATATTCCAAAACATCACCGAGTCAAAGAAGCCAGAAACAGAAGAGTGCATACAGCAGTTCCAGAAGCAACCTGGCGTGTAAGGCCAGATCTACGGCACAAGAGACCAGGCCAGCGGCTGCCTCGGTGGGTGTGGGGACTGATGGGGAACTGGATGCACACGTTTGGAGAAAGTCATACAGCTGTTCACTCAGCAGGTTCTTACTCTGTGTGAATTACATCTCAATAAAGTTGATAAAAGGCAAGCAGGATGGCTGTAACCCTTCTGGGGAAGCAGTGGCTAGGAGGGGCCCCAGGCAGACTTTTGGGCTGCTGGTGCTGTCCTGTCCCTGAGGCTGGGAGCCAGCGACATGAGTGCTCCTTTGTGAAAAGTTCAGAAAGCTCAGCGTTCATGTGCCCTTTTCTCTATTTAAATTACTCTTCAATTAAAATACTGCTAAAATATATGGAGCTGGAGAAAGACAGAGGGTGAGGTTGTGAGCAGGCTCGTATTCACCTTCTTTACTGCTTCTCCTGGCCAACGTGGACAGGGTCGAACGCCTCAGTGGGTAGCTGTCGTCTGCAGAATGATGTGGCGGAGCCACGGATGGCCCTTCTGACGGCCCCGGGGCCACCAAGCCGGCCAGCCAACACCATCTGCTATCTGTCTCCACCCGTTCTCACAACCAAAATGCCCTTCCCTCTGACTTACAGGACGCTTCCAGACTTACCTGCGGTTCTTGGTACTGGAGGGAAAGTCAGAGCAGGAGGCAGAGGACGCGTGCCGCGGCCATGGCTCACAGCCCCGCCGTCGAGCCCCTGGGAGCGTGTGAAGCGCTTCATCATTCACACCGCTTGTTTTATTTAACCTCACGATCACCATCCTAAAGATGAGGAAGCGGAGACTGGAGAGCCCGAGAGAAACTCAGAAGGGCGACGTCCCCAAGCTTCTCTTCAGACGAAGAGGACGCCAGGCAGCCCAGAGGGGAGCGACTCTGCTGCACACGGGGACGTGCGTCTTCCTGCAGGACATGCTCGAGTCCCTCCACTGGGGGCTGCGCCCCGGCTCTTCTCCCTCCAGGTTCCCAGTGCTGCAGACCCCCGTCCTGCGCACCAGAGGCTTAGCGAGATGAGGGTGGGTCTGGGGTCTGTCCTGCTGACAGTTCCCTTAAGAGAACAGGCTCCCTGAGGCTGGACAGGTGGCGGTGACACCAAGCCTGTGGAGGGAAGTCCTTCAGGGACGACATCACCCTAGCTCGGTTTCTGCATTTAACCGTGAAGATGGAACAAAAAGGTTAACTTATGAGGAGTGTTCTCGACTTGTCGACAAGACAAAGAATAAAAGAAACTAATCATTATCGAGAGCTTTCCTGTATGTTACGGTATCTGACAAGTCACCTGAGAAATTTCAAATGATCTGAAGGAACAGAACCAAGAGAAAGGATATTACACCAAGCACTTTACTGGTAACACCTTTTTAATAGGTCAAAGTAACTGTACAGTTCATTATATTCTTCCTGAGAATAATTTATTTCCCCCAACAAACTAAAGAGAGGGCGTATTTTTCAAAATTATTTAACAGAATGGATGGTAAAACTGGACATCAAAAGGAAACCAAATCTCTGTTTTGCCCAATTCCTTCCTGGGAAGACAGACGCAATGAAGGGTTAGTTAACTCCAGTGGCTGTGAAATAGTCAACATGGCTTTAATCTTTCTTTATAAATTATATAAAAATGGAACACAGGGATGGTTCCAGAACTTCTTCTCAATGCGGTTCGGAGGTGCTCCGGTACAAAGCATTTCTGCTTCCAAGAGAAATAACAGCACTACAAAAAACCGGCACATTATTCTGGTGGAAAAAGACAAACGTTTTTAGTGTGTTCTACAGCTAGTTTCCAACCAAATGCTTCACATACTCACATGAAAGTAAAAGGCAGGAAAGACAAGAGGGTTGTAGTTTTTTTCTGAAATTACTCAAGTCTTCAAAATATAGCTTTTATATTCTTTCTTTGTAAAGTGGTATTAGCATATTGCAAATGAACAGTGTTCTAATGACAAAAATTCCAGCCTGGGTAGTAAGTCTGCGGTTGGCAAAGGGATTCTCAGCCCCTTGGGTTTCCTGGAATCCTCCACTTCCTCCTGTCTTCTTCCAAGGACCAGTCCGGCCAGTTCAGGAACCAGTGCATCACTGCCCTGGCCGCTTCCACGAAAGCATATCCTGATGTGAACAAAATCTGTTCTTCATGATTCTTTAAAAGCTTCTCATGTACAATTTTTATTCTCAGAAAAATGCCACATTTTGGATCCCGGACTTTTCTGAACACCATGATTAAAGAACCAAAACCAAAACAACCCACATCAAAATGCGGTTAAACTTATGTGAGATTTTCAACCAGCCTCGGCCAGAGTGCTGGCGCTGTGAGTGCTGGCGCCCACGGCCGGCCAGAGCCTCGCTGCTGGTGGCGGCGGAGGGGGGAGCAGGCCCCGGCGCTCAGCGTGGCCTCGCCTGCCCCAGGGCCTTCATCCTGGCCTGGTCGATGACGTCGAGCAGGTTCTTGGCGTCCACGGCCAGGGCGTGTGCGGCCGTCAGCATCCGCTTCTTGTACTCCTGCTGCAGGCTGGTCATGACATACTGCTGGGCCAGCTTCATCTTGCTGATGAGCTCCCCCAGGTCGGAGTTCAGCAGCTTCTGGGCCATCTCAATCTGCAAGGACAAGAGGGTCAGGAGCGCCTCCTGCAGCCAACACTCAGGGCATTCTTAGGCGCTTTTCTTAGGTGCCTCCAGGAGAAGAAACTTTCTTCCTTCCCCTTAAACAAGGCAGACCCTGGTCTCCACCTCCAGGCCCACACGCTTTCTACTGCACCTGCTTCAAGACCTTCCTCTGCTACGCAGGAGATGGTTCAAGGGTGTCACCAGACACTTGCTCCACTCTGACGTAAACTCTGGACCCTTCCAAACGGATCAGAGGTGGGAAGTGGGGTCAGGGCTGGTGGAAGGAGCCATAGGGCTGGAGAGCTTTGCTTGGGGTGTCTCGCGATCCCTCCAACCTGTGTACTTAACCAGCGGCGATCTAGCCACGTGCTCTTTCAACAATCAGCGAGCACTTACTGTACACAAGGCCCTTGGAGTTGTGGACGCCAGAGTGACCCAATGTGTCTGTGTTCACAGCCCAGTGTGGGAGAAGCACGCACAGAGCTGCCCATCACACACGGGAAAATCACGCCACAGAAATGGACCCGGAGAGGAGCAGTTCACTCCTTCTGAGAGGGGTGGAGAGACTCCACAGAGGAGAGCTCGCCCGCATCCAGCCGAGACTGCACAAGCTGGCCGGCCTCCACCGTGAAGGGCCTCGTCAGCCACCCACGTTCACCTTGGTCCTGCTCAACTTAGCAACGGGGAGGCCTAAGGGACTTCAGGAAGGGGAATAACATAATCTAGAGAGGGCTCTGGTGGCAGTGTGCGACGTCAACGGAAGGGCAGGGAGAGCCCAGAGGAGGAGTAAGCAGCTGAGAGGCTGCTGTGGTACCTCAGGGAAGAGGGGACGTGGCCGTGAGGACGGCGAAGCAAGGCCCGACCTGAGACTTGTGAGTGACACAGGCTGTCTGCACGTGTGTACGTGTGCGTGCACGCGCGTGTGGTTCGTGCTGGGCACGGTGGTGAGTGCATGCTGGTCCCACTGACCCTGCAAGCAGAATGTGCTACAGGGGCAGACGTCCTGCAGACAGCTAGTGCCTGGGGCACACGGAGTGGGCTCGCTCACAGCACAGAGGGTGAGGGCCTCAAACATCTGGATCTGTGGGCGTAGGGAGCCCTGCCAAGGAGAAAATGCATCTGTAAAACGCAAGTCCGGGGAGCACCTTGGGGGCGGCCACCATCGGGGCGGCAAAGAAAGGCTGGGGGTGGGGCCGGCAAGGCTCTGAAACTCCAGGGGTCTCGCCAAGGGGTCAGGGCGGTGGGGGCATGGCCCTTGGTGACCGCTGGGCGGGGTCAGGGACAGCTGGGTCCAGAGGGCGGGAGGGGAGCAGGGGCACAGGAAGGCGCACACGGTGTGCAGAAGAGCCAGGTACACAGAGAGATGGTTTCAGCCGTTACCAGCTAAAGCAGGAAGTTAGAAACGGTCCCGCCAAAATATCCAGCCGTTAGGGTGCCACTTGCTTTGCCTCTGGCGCCTGGAGCGTCTCCATTTGGGGCAAAATCCTTGCTCACTGTGGAAAACCAATTAAATTTCTAATAAAGCAGATAAACTAGCTAACCTCTGAACTGGAGAGAAATATTAAGTTACACGCTGACACCAGTCAGAGGCATTTTCCAAAAGGATTTACGTGGTGTCATGCAGGTGAACTGGTGCCGCTTACAGGCAGGAGCTGAGCCCGACTGCCCCGCGTGTCCAGACACCCTGCTGGACGTGCTGCCCTCGCGCTCGACCTCCGCGGAGGACGCAGCCTCACCGCAGATGTAAAACCTCAGCCTGACCAGGAGGAAACAGCAGCCTTTAGAGAACACCCCTCAGCTCCACGTCAGGGAGGCTCTGGAACACAGGGGGCCTATACTCTGTCGCAGAAGACAGCGCGGGGCTGAGGAGCTGTCCCAGGAGAGAGGCACACAGACACGCTGAGCGCTGTCAGGGGCCACGTGAGCCCCAGGCTGTCTCCAGCCAGAGGGAGAAGCATTACTGGGGTGACTGGTGAACCCAGGCCACCACCTGCTGAGAGATGAGCACACTGGCCAGTGTTAAATTCCAGGATGCGGTGACCGAGCATTCGAAAACACAAACGCAAGTACTAAAGGTAAGAGGGCGAGATGCGCACAACCAGCCCCCAGGTGGCTCTGGAGAAGTAAAGCCTGCGCGTGCAGAGAGAGGACGCAAAGGGCTCAGACGGGGAAGGCGGCGCGATCAGGGCGAGGGTGCTTGCAAGTTCTTGGTGCTGTTCTCAGAGCTTTTCCTCAAGTTTGAAATCATTTCACAGTAAAAACTAAGAAAACAAAAACAAACAGATTGCCTGCTGGGGGAAGGACAGATCATGCACCCTGAGAGAGAAAGCAGGAAAGTGGACGCTGGAGCTGGAAGGGCGAGGTGTGGGAAGTGAGCTGGGCTGGGTGCAGACCCCAACGCTAAGCCTATTTACTGGTTACAAGGAATGTTTATATCGCTGCTTTAAGTGGAAAACCGAGGTCACTTGCAAACTCGAAATTTTCCAGAGGAATTCGAGGAAGGAGGGCAGGATGCCACAGCCTCCGTCCTTGCTCTGGAGGGTTCCAGGGCAGCAGCAGCCCCAATCCTGCGCTCCCCACCTGTCCTCACGGACGCCCCGTCCTTCAGGTCGGGACCCCACACGTGGTGTGGTGGCTCCACACAGCTCTGAAGATGGACAGCCAGGCGCCGGCGTCCCGACCTGGGGCCCGGCCAGGAGGTCACGCCTGCAGAGCGCGCGCTGTGCTCCCCCCGCCACGCTGCCCTCTGGATGAGGCCCTACCTCTCGGTGGGTGCTGGCGGGCAGGACGGGAATGGTCTCATCCACGGTGGCCAACAGCGTCCTCAGGGCCAAGCCGACTTCCTAACAGACAGGACCACACCCAGTGTTAGGACGCACGTCAAGGAGTTTCATGCCAGCAATGACAGTGTTTCCTTCCAGTTACATGGTTTTTCATTTCCTTTTCACCACTTTTGGGAAAATTTTTTTTTTTTTTAGGAAAATTTCTGTATTTCTTTTCCACAGTGCTGAGCCTGATCTCATTAAGTTATGAGGCAATTTCCCCCAGATTCAGATCTCTCTGAATCTACTCATGCTCTACTGTCTGGGGAACAGGGGAATGGAGGCTTATGTATGAAAAGCCGCCCGGACGCTCAGGGAAGGCGGCGCTGGGGCTGCCTGTGCTCCGTGACTCTCTTCCCTCCCCAGTGCTTTCCAAAGCCTCGCGGGCCACCAAAAAGGATGTTACTGCTACCACGTGTGGGAACGACAGGTGGGCAGTCTGCTACGGAGGCCATTCTGACCCCGGAGCTTCGTCCACTATGTACACGGAGCACAACAGCCCTCCCCCTGCCACTCGGAGCTTAAAGGGACCAGCTGTGATTAAAAACGATATGACGTTAGAGTTAAAATGTCTGTCGTTGTCATTCTCATGAGGGTCAACTATGTAATGACTCAGGTGCTAAGTTATACATGCAGTAGGTACAAGACCAGTAAGGACATGCTAGTTATTGACACTGGATCAACAAAAAGAGTGTCGTTTTGCCAAAGTAATACGGTTAAAAAAGCAGCTTCTAGGGCTACCCTGGTGGCGCAGTGGTTGAGAGTCTGCCTGCCGATGCAGGGGACACGGGTTCGTGCCCCGGTCTGGGAAGATCCCACATGCCGCGGAGCGGCTGGGCCCGTGAGCCATGGCCGCTGAGCCTGCGCATCCGGAGCCTGTGCTCCACAGCGGGAGAGGCCACAACAGTGAGAGGCCTGCGTACCACAAAAAAAAAAAAAAAAAAAAAGCAGCTTCTAGAAAACCACCATAAAAAGTCTTATCATGTACAAAATTCTGGTTGCTTTTGTATATTGCTGAGTTTATTAGTATTTTTTAAAAACCTGTCTGTGGTTCACGCAAGTTCGCCCATAAGAACTTTGGTTATAAGTGTTATGGGAGTATAGCCTCAAGACGGAACCAGAATGGATTAACTGTGCTGCCCATAAAACATCACAGCTTCCATGCAGCTGCTCCACACTGATGGTTTAAAAGAAGCTGTTCCAGAGACTGCTCACTGGTGCACTAAAGACGGGGTTCAATCCTGCAACTCAACGACAAAAAGCCAAACAACCCTATTAAAAAGTGGGCAAACGGCTTGAACAGACATTTCTCCAAAGACGACACACAAATGGCCAACACAAAAAAGCACACGAAGAGATGTTCAACCTCACTACTCATCAGGGAAATGCAAATCAAAAGCCCAGTGAGATGCCACCTCACACATATGAGGATGGCCACTATCAAGAAAAAACAAAACCGAAAGTAAAAAGTGTTAGTGAGGATGGAGAAAAACTAGATAGAACCCTTGTGCACTGCTGGTGGGAATGTAAATTGCTGCAGCCATTGTGGGAAACAGCATGGTGTGTCCTCAAAAAATTAGGACTAGAACTAGCATACGATTCAGCAATTCCACCTCTGAGTTAATGCCCAAAAGACTGAAAGCAGGGTCTCCAAGTATCATCTGTCTTGGCACTTTAACACTGTAATTACCTCCCCTAAGTCACAATGGCATCAGACTGTAAGTACTCTTCTGCATCTTTTCTCACTCAAGATCATATGTATGAGCAGTAGTTATTGACAGACTCTGCTGCTCAGGACATTCCAGGGTCAAGGTCGGGAATGGCAGTGATCCCCATGCGATGCAGACCTTCTGAAGAGTCAGGCTGGACCCGAAGGGCACAGGGAATGTCTCCTGCTTCACGTGAGGGGGCTGAGCTCACCTTCACCATGGGGACATACTCCTCTGGCGGGGCTGGCTGGATCTTGCTGGACATCTCGATGACCGCTCTCACCAGGCCCGTCACGTTCTCATACACCCTGTCATTGGACCGGTCCAGGTTGGCAGTGGGAGGGGGGCTGATTTCCTGGGGCTGAAGCTGCCAACACAGAAGCCGGTTATCTTTCTATCCTCCAGCAGATGGCGTCATATCACTGCAACTAGGTTAGAAAGGGTCTTTAAAAGAGATCAAAGCAGATCACATAACTGATCTTCTTGTCTTAGGGGACATAGTTCAGCTTGAGGATGACAGCAAAGCAATTCATCCAAGTGACAAATAAGTAAGGCACCTTTTTTTCTAACTTTGAGCTCAGTTAAAGGAAATGAGATGGAATCACACACATTATACTAAAAGCCCCGGATTCATTCAGAGAAGTGATTCATCGTCCCCCCAAAATCATTCACCAAAAGAGAAAGAATCCAGATATTTTACACCTCTCTGAGGATTTAGAGACAGTTGGCTAAGGGGTCAAGTGTTCTACATTGAGACTATATGAATTTCCACTTAGTTTGAATTTTGCAGTAAAACCTGTATGGCTCAGCTTAGTTGCCTTCAAACCACCTAATGGAAACGTGTATTCCTTTTATGGTTATAAAAAGTGGGCAAATGCAAGTCTTCTTTACATGGACACCACCTGCTTCCAGAACGCTGCTGAGGTGGGAGCTGTGTGGGTGCAGCTCTGTTGGTGGGGGGCGGGCACTGCCCCCTCACCCGCAGCTGTGATGGGGGTGAAATGAAGGAACGTATGTAAAACGGCCCGTCTCAGGGCCCGGGCACAGAGAGACTTCAACAAATGTTATCCAAGACAACATGTGAGCCCTGAAGGCTGCACAAGGGCCTCTAGGGAACCTTCAGCATATTTAAAAAGTCGAACTGGCCACCCCAGGCACAAAAAGGACTGCGTATGGCCACTCTGAGAAGACTGAATGCCGGCACCCAATAGCTGTTCATTCGTGAATCTGCTGCCAGTGCTCAGGCTCTAACTCTGGATGCCCATCCCTAAGTCATGAGACACAAGGGACGAGAATGTCCCATCACTGCACAGATGCTCACGTCTCACTCTTGGGCAAATATAAATGCTGCTTTTGGTGACAAACCAAGCAAAAGCGCCCTCCCCAGGCTTCCCAATTCCTGGTCCAGAGTCGCACGCAGAGCGGGGTGTGATAGAGAGCTGGACAGACACACAGATACCATGTGCTTACCCTCCACGGCTATTGTCGAACGGAAGGTGAGGACAAGTTAAAGGAATTTATCAGAGAAAGGGAAAAAAGAAAAACAATATTAATAAAGGCAGCAGACAAAACCCCCGTAAAAACACACGAGCAGGACAAGAGGAGTGAGCTTCCGCCTGTCGGCTCGGTCAGCGGCCATCGAAGTGCAGCCGCTGGGCCGTCTGTTCAGGGCCCCCGCATACTCAGTAGGGGTCTGCCATGCACCATGCTCGTGTTCACAAATAAATGAGGAAAACAACATGCAAAGCCCGAGAATGACAATCTGGCAGCCGTGCAAGAATCCAAAGAATTAAGGGTCTTTAAAAAGAAAGAAAGCGTATCTATGCTTGTATTCACGGAAAGCTGCCCACTGGACATCTGAGTGATTCTGGAGAAACTGCACACCCTCACTCCCTGGGCCTGGCCCCAACATCCAGCATCCCTGGAAATGGCCTTCAACCTAGCCAGCCTGCTGTAATGCAGGTGCCTGGCTTGGGGCTGTGTTTAAAGGTATCAGGAGCTTATTCTAAAAACAAAAACAGAACGAAAACATAAAACCCTTCACTTGAACCAGTTCTTATGGCTGGGTTCCCTTACTTTAAACTTAGAAATTTTAATGTTTTCTTTTTTCTCTACAGTTTAAACCAAGCCTATTCTACTGTAACATAATAGGCAAAGTTAACTGAGAGAAATATGGATTTCTTGACCTTTCCTTAAAATTGTCTGAAAAAAGTATACCCTTTGGTATGGAAGTTTAGCAGAGCCCTAAGTTCTGAGGTCCAACCCTCCACACTGTGTATTTTCTGTGCACTAGAAAAAGGGAGGTTATTCATAGCAGCATCACTTCCAAGAGAAGCCGTGTCAGCATTTTATCTTCTGCACTGAGATGCTGAATGGGGCAGGAGGGCCAGTTCAAAGGGGATCAACGTAAAAGGCCGCGTTTCCTCAGGAGGCGTGCCAGCTGGGGCTCCATCAAGAAGAACTACAGTTCTTGACTCCAGGAGGTGAGGGTGTTTGTTCTAACCTGTTCAAAGCTTCTGCTCTTTTGTGTTCACCCTTTACCCAACTGTCACAGAAGCGCTGTCACAAAGCTTCCAGGGGCCATTCACAGGGACCCTCCCAAAGCACCAGCCTGGTGTGCAGAGACAGCTGTCACTGGTTTCCTACTTTCTGGAGCTTGACCACTTGGAGGCCCCTTGGCAGGCAGTTAGACACACCACTGCCCACAGAGATACAGCCAATCCCAACCACTTGGGGTGGGGGGGGGTTCCTCAAAGACTCCGATAATTCAGAGCCGAAACATAAAGCCACCAAGGAGAAACTGAGACTGATTTCTGGCTATGAGTTGGACGAATTGCTTCAGTTACACCCAGGTAAAGGTAAGCATTTCTGTATTAAAAGAGTACTGTTCTTTCAGGCTGGATTTGATAACCTCTACCAAACAGACATGTCACGAAGAAGCAGAGACATATACTTCACACTTACTAATTATTAAAAAATGTTTACTGATTGGTTTTTTTTTTTTTTTTTTTTTTTTTTTTTTGGCCGTGTTGGGTCTTCATTGCTGTGCGCAGGCTTTTCTCTAGTTGGAGCGAGTGGGGGCTATTTTTCGTTGCAGTGCGCGGGCTTCTCACTGCGGTGGCTTCTCTTGTTGCAGAGCACGGGCTCTAGGCACGCGGGCTTCAGCAGTTGCAGCACGCAGGCTCAGTAGTTGTGGCTCACGGGCTCTAGAGTGCAGCTCAGTAGTTGTGGCGCACGGGCTTAGCTGCTCTGCGGCATGTGGGATCTTCCCGGACCAGGGATCGAACCCGTGTCCCCTGCATTGGCAGGCGGATTCTTAACCACTGTGCCACCTGGGAAGTCCCCTGAGTGTATTTTTAAAAAATATTTATTTATTTATTTGGCTGCGTGGGGTCTTAATTGCGGTGCACAGGCTCTTTGTTGCAGCGCACGGGCTTCTCTCTAGTTGTGGTGCACAGGCTCAGCAGTTGCGGTGCGCGGGCTCTAGAGCATGGGCTTAGTTGCCCTGCAGCATGTGGGATCTTAGTTCCCCTACCAGGGATCGAACCCGCGTCCCCTGCATTGGAAGGCAGATTCTTAACCACTGGACTGCCAGGGAAGTCCCCTCCTGAGTGTACTTTAAGTAAGCACACTTAAAAGATTCCTTTCCATAAAGATTTCTACTTGCTCAATACCCTACAATAAGGGTATTTCCCACTTATATTTATTCAAATGTAAAAAATGAATATAGGTCAGAATTTTAAGCCGGTATCTGATCCACTTTTCAAGTTGGCTTTTCACTGCAATACAAGCCCTTTTGAAAGTTTCTTCTTTTGCTTATGAAAAATGAAAAAAAGTTCATTAACCCAATTTCTCTCTTTCCTTTTAAAATTTATGTCAAGAAACCACACTGGGAAAGGGTGTGCCCTCCGTTGCTCCTCTGTGGTGCTAGTGGAGCTGCAGGGAGGCTTCTTGGGCCTGGAGGCCCAGAAGCTGGGGGAGCCAAGCCCCAGGCAGCCCCCAGGACCAGCACCCTGGTTTCTAGGAGCTGACTGCCTGGCCCTTGGTGCAGGGGCGCCTCTGGCGCCATGGTTCCTGTGTTAGGCTCCGCAGGGAGCAGGCTGGTCCCAGACGGTGCCAGCTGCTTCACTACTGGTCACCGCCCTCCAGCTGTAGGCTGGCTCGCAACTGGAGATGACATTTTCTCTGCCTGGGGACAACCTCTCTGACTCACTAAGATGGCAATACATCTGCTTCTATCCAGGAATCAGCCGCTTGGCTTTGGGGGTAAACCTGGAGCAGCAGCACATATGTGTGTGCGGAAAGCCAAGTCTGCCACTAAATGCTGGTTCAGCTATGGGGAGGCCGTAACCTCAAACACGCCCTTTAACCTCTAGCAACTGTAGCGGCCTCATGCGACAGGTGGGAACAGTAATAAGACCACCAATTCCGCGAGGCTGATGTGAGGATTTGAAATACATGGGGCAGGTTCTGCCACAGCAGGTGGCACTCAATGAATGGTCGTTATTAGTGAAACAAAGTTTATCTTAACTGATCCCATAGCTATTGAATTCTAAGATGTACCTTTTTCTATGCACCACGAAGAAGGAAAAAAAATGCCAGTTAAATCAACACACCGTCTTGATTTTAGAGATATTAAAATGTGAAGACAGGGACTTCCCTGGTGGCGCAGTGGTTAAGAATCTACCTGCCAATGCAGGGGACACGGGTTCCATCCCTGGTCTGGGAAGATCCCACGTGCCACAGAGCAACTAAGCCTGTGAGCCACAACTACTAAGCCTGCACTCTAGAGCCCGTGAGCCACAACTACTGAGCCTGCATGCGACAATTACTGAAGCCCACACGCCTAGAGCCCATGCTCCGCAACAAGAGAAGCCACCACAATGAGAAGCCTGCACACCGCAATGAAGAGTAGCCCCTGCTCGCCGAAACTAGAGAAAGCCCGTGCGCAGCATCGAAGACCCAATGCAGCCAAAGATAAATAAATAAATAAATAAAATGTGAAGACAAAGTGTATCAGAATTGAGAAGTAGGACATATTTTGAGATAACTGACCTAATGGAAAGTAGAGTGTACCCCTCTCCTTAAAAGGGCACACAGAAGAGGAGGTTGTGGTCCCCAGCACATGCTGCTTTACACACGCTGGCCCCAGATGGCAAAGAATGGAAGTCGCCCACTAGGCCACACTGACACACTCGGAGACAGTGAGCCTACAGAAGGCCTTGCTTTCCCCAGGCGTCCTGGTTTGATTCATTTGTAAAACCAGAAGCCACCCCAGCATTTTTATCTCAAAGAAACATTCTGTCTGATAAGAGGAAAATGTCTTCAGAAAGTTAACATCTGACTGAGGCCCTAGAATCTATCACATGAGAGAAAAACAGAAAAGAGAGTTTTCCAGTAAATTTGTCCTGACTCAGAGGAGTCTGGAGCCGACCAAGGGGCCCCCCCAATCCCACCGAGCCCCAACCCCACTGCACATCGCAGGGTCATCGCCCAGAGTGAAAGGCTCTGTGGAGTCCTGGGCTGCGCACAGGCTTGGGCGCTCACCTTGACACCCTCGTTGTAATTGTCTCCGGGGCTGCCGAGGCTGGCAAGGCTGCTCAGGTGCCCAGGGGCTCCGGGACGCGGTGGTTTCTTTGGTGGAGCTGCAGGATCTGGTAAAGGAATGAGTCCCATTACTTAACGTACATTAATGAAGAGAATGGAAACCACCCCCAAACAAACAAACACAGATTCATGTTATTACAACAGAAGCTAATCTCAGAGAGGGCACCCTACAGAGGTGTTTCTGATGCATTAGAGCAGTAAAGTCTGTTTTCCAACATTCTAGTCGTGGGCTGAATTTGGTAAACATCATACTTGCTATGGTCTGTAGGGGGAAAAGTGTTAACACAACATGAAGTTTTTCAAAACTAAGAAACTATACATCAAAACCCCCTCCCTCCAAATTATACAAATTTTGTGACACTCGATTCATTTCTTCATTTACCTGGTTTGCCCACAGGCTGATATATGTGCTGGTTTCCAGTCTGTGGGGAAAGAAAAAGCCAGGTCAATGCAGCAGGGCGCACAACAGGATAACGGCCTCCCCTTCCCACCCTCTCCACCCACCCCCTTGACCCCTGGGCTAAACGCTGGGGTCAAAGACCAACAAGACGGGGGAGGGGCCAGCCTTCAAGGCCTCAGGTGGGGACAGGGGATTAGATTAGGCTAATAAGCAAATAATGCCAATGGGGTATGGGATAAGGGCTGCCATAGGAGGAATCACGATTGGAACACGGTCAGGGGTGGTCACACCAATTTCAAATTTTCTTTAAAGAAATTATGCCCATGGAAGTCTCCAGTTCAACTTCATGGGTGTGAAATATGTCCTGTGTCTGGAAACTCTCCCCCACCCCCTCCTTCTCTGATTACAAGAAGGAGTGCCATCAGGGACAATGACAACGAGAAGAGGCTTCCGAGCACTGGGATGTCTACGTTGCCACTGTCACCTGAAGAACCTGGTGTGACACCTCCATCCATTCTGGACCAGCCACAGGCCAAGCCAGGAAGCCAAACCAGCCCAGGCACAGGGAAAAAGGCAGGTTCACATGGGACGAGCCCTAGTCTAGGGTGCCACGCCTGCAGCTACGATTAGAGCCACTTATCCTAGGCTGACTGAATGAAAAGAAGTATCTTCAAACTATATCCTACTTTTGAAAAGAGGGACTTTCCTTGCTTATTTTAAAACAATAAACTGGCTAAAACACATATACTTTAAGGTGCTTTACTTTTACTGAGTAGACACCCACTTCTTTAAAATAAAGGACCATGAGACGGCACACAGTCACAACTGCTCCTTGCCCAGGATCACGGCTGCTTCCACCAGGCCACTGAACGCTCCCGATCTTAAAGACTAGAAAAACCCTCTGAGCGGGAAGGTGTGAGGAACAGGATTCCTTGACACAGTGGGAAGTGGGCCAAAACCTTGCAAAGAGACAGGCTGCGGCTGTGCTGTGTTGTGCTCACTGACCAGCAGTAAAAAGACTTAAAGAATTTCCTGATACTCAGGGAACAAGAAAGTGCGATAATTAGAAAATCCTATTCACAGAACTTTCTGGATCAGTTCAACAGATGTTATGTATGTCCCTGTGCGCAGAGGCTGATGGGCTGGGCAGTGGGCCGGGCCGGGCTCTGGTTCTGCTGCGTGTGCAGTGCTGGCCCTGGAGCGAGTCACCCACCGGTTTGAGGCTTTGGTTTTCCCATTTGAAGGCGGAGGCTAGTGACACTTACCCCCTATGGGGGGTTGTCACAAAATGAACATGCTGCCAACTTGCGTATTATTTCGAAAATCTAAATAGTTTTTATTTTTACTTTTTATGCACACAGACAGGATCAATTTCCATGAGGCAGTGACTAGTGTCTATTAACTAGCTCAGACCTACTGACAGTCTACACTGCTTTCCAGCCAAACGCTTCTCCCTGAAACTGGGGCCCACTTTCAAAAGTGTTAAGTTGGAGCACTTGGAGAAGTGGGCCAAACCATACAGTTATCTTAGCAAAGCACAGAAGCAGAAGAGCCAGCAACCGTCAGCGTGTGTTATGAGCCCCACAGCTTAACCCAGACCCTGGAGGGGAGAGGCCTGCAGAGCAGGCTGGCGCCTGGTCACGCTCTGAGTGCCCTGTCCGGCGTCCGGAGTCCGGCATTGGGACCAGTGACCTTGGGCAAGTTTCCTACGAGCCTCAGTTGACTCATTTGTGGCGTGTGGATGGCACGGCACCTGACCTGACAGGAGTGCTGAGGACTTATGAGGTGACAGGAGGGAAGCACCCGGCGCAGCACCTGCTCCATCAGGACTAAGTGCTCCTCCTGTCACCCAGGCCTGGTGTGCGGCAAGTACTATGAGATCACAAGCGGCCCCATCATGCGTCGTCTGTTTCACAAAGTGTTTCTCAATAATCCTTCTGTCTCATCATTCATTCATTCACTCCACATATGTTCTGGGTACCTTCATACATGCCACATCCTGGAACAGGATTTTCCTTTTCTAAAAAATGTTCCTATTAGTGATGTTATAAATAGCTGGTCCCTTGAATAGGGTTTACTTTCATGCTTATTCTCACTCTTTCCTCTTAACAATTTGGGACCAACTGCTCAATACGTTATCATTTTATTAACTGAAGAAGTCTTGGGCTTCCCTGGTGGCGCAGTGGTTGAGAGTCTGCCTGCCGATGCAGGTGACACGGGTTCGCACCCCGGTCCAGGAAGATCCCACATGCCGCGGAGTGGCTGGGCCCGTGAGCCATGGCCGCTGAGCCTGCGCGTTCGGAGCCTGTGCTCTGCAACGGGAGAGGCCACAGCAAGTGAGAGGCCCACGTACCGCAAAAAAAAAAAAAAAAAGGAAGTCTTGATGCACACTGTTAAGTTACAGGTATACAGTATAATGATTCACAATTTTTAAAGGTTATGCTCCATTTGTAGTTATTATAAAATATTAGCTATATTCACTGTGTTCTACAATACGTCCTTGAGGCTGATTTTTTTTTGGCCACACCGTGCGACTTGCGAGATCTTAGTTTCCTGACGAGGAATTGAACCCGGGCCCTAGCAGTGAAAGCGCCAAGTCCTAACCACTGCATCGCCAGGGAATTCCCACTGTAGCTGATTTTATACAAAATAGTTTATACCTCTTAATCTCCTACCCTTGTATTGCCCCTCTCCACTGTTAACCACTAGTTTGTCCTCTATATCTGAGTCTTTTCGTTATATGCACTAGTTTGTAAGTGATACTATACAATATTTGTCTGTCTGACTTATTCACTTGGCATCATACCCTCCAAGCCCATCCATGTTGCTGCAAATGACAAAACTTCATTTTTTATGGCTAAGTAGTATTCCATTGTATATATACACCACAGCTTCTTTATCCATTCATCTGCTGATGAACTTGGGTTGCTTCCATATCTTGGCAATTATAAATAATGCTGCTATGAACACAGGAGTGCATGTATCTTTTCAAGTTAATGTTTCTGTTTTTTTTCGGATATATGCCCAGAAGTGGGATTGCTAAATCATATGGTAGTTCTATTTTTAGTTTTTTGAGACTTCCATACTGTTTTCCACAGTGGCTGCACCAATTTACATTCCCACCAGTGTACAAGGGTTCCCCTTTCTCCACATCCTCACCAACATTTGTTATTTGCGTTCTTTTCGATAATGGCCATTCTGACCAGTGTGAGGTGATATCTTACTGGGCTTTTGATTTGCATTTCTCTGATGATTAGCCATGTTGAGCATCTTTTCATGTGTCTGCTGGCCATCTGTATTTCCTCTTTGGAAAAATGTCTATTCAGGTCTTCTGCCAATTTTTTAATCGGGTTGCTTTGTTTTTTCTGACATTGAGTTGTATGAGCTGTTTATATATTTTGTATATTAACCCCATATGGGTCATATCACCTGCAAATATTTTCTCCCATTCAGTAGGTTGTCTTTCATTTTGTCAATGGTTTCCTTTGCGGTGCAAAAGCTTTTAAGTTTAAATTGGTCCCATTTCTTTATATTTGCTTTTATTTCCTTTGCTTTAGGAGACAGATCAAAAAAATATTGCTATGATTTATGTCAAAGAGTGTTCTGCCTATGTTTTCCTCTAAGAGTTTTATGGTTTCTGGTGTTATATTTAGGTCTCTTAAAAATCATTAAAAACTTTAAAAAAAATTTTTGTTTCCGATCTTAAAGTCTTTAATCCATTTTCAGTTTATTTTTGCATATGGTGTTGGAGAATGTTCTAATTTCATTCTTTATGTGTAGCTATCCAGTTGTCCCAGCACCACTTACTGAAGAGACTGTCTTTTCTCCATTGTATATTCTTGCCTCCTCTGTCATACCTTAATTGATCATAAGTGCGTGGGTTTATTTCCGGGCTCTCTATTCTGTTCCATTGATCTATATGTCTGTTTTTGTGCCAGTACCTTACTGTTTTGATTACTATAGCTTTGTAGTATAGTCTGAGGTCAGGGAGAGTGATTCTTTCAGCTCTGTTCTTCTTTCTCAAGATTGTTGTGGCTATTTGGGTTCTTTTGTGTTTTCATACATATTTTAAAATTATTTGTTCTAGTTTTATAAAACATGCTATTAGTATTTTGATAGGGATTGCACTGAATCTGTAGATTGCCTTGGGTAGTATGGTCATTTTAACAATGTTACTGCTTCCAATCCAAGAACACAGTATATCTTTCCATCCGTTTGTGTCCTCTTCAATTTCTTTCATCAGTGTCTTCTAGTTTTCCGAGAACAGGGCTTTTACTTCTTTAGGTAGGTTTAATCCTAGGTATTTTATTCTTTTTGATGCGATGGTAAATGGGATTGTTTCCTTAACAGGAAACAATGAACAACAGTTCATTCCTAATCTACAGAAATGTAACAGATTTCTGTATATTAATTTTGTATCCTGTAACTTTACCGAATTCACTGATGAGCTCTAGTAGTTTTCTGGTGGCATTTTTAGAACTTTCTATGTAAGTATCATGTCATCTGCAAACAGTGACAGTTTTACTTCTTCCTTTCCAATTTGGATTCCTTTTATTTCTTTTTCTTGTCTGATTGCTGTGGCTAGGACTTCCAATACTATGTTGAATAAAAGTGATGAGAGTCAGCATCCTTGTCTTGTTCCTGATCTTAGAGGGAATGCTTTCAGCTACATGTCATCTTTCCAATATAAAGAGTGAGCACTGCATGTGGAGATGTTAACTGGGGAACAGTGTGATTTTGCACTTGTGGACTAAGGAATGCCTAATATTCTGTCTGCAGAGCCCATTGTGCCAGCATATCTTATGGGAAATGCCAAACCTTCACATGCTGGCAACTGAACACATCTTCTAGGGGCCAGATCTTAGGGGGAGCTGGATTTTAGAGCACAGAGTAGGGAAAACTACGCATCTCGGAGCTGGATGACGACACAGTCTAATGTACGTATGTATGTATGTGTATGCATGTGTGTCTAAAAATGAAATGGTTTATTTCTACTCATAAACCTTATTAGGGTGGATGGAGATTTATCTCCCTAAGTCCGTTACCCAGCAAGTGCACGTTTCCCCTTTTTACTGGGGATTTAAGTTTTAAAGAAATCTGTATTTATTTTAACCAGATATCTGCTAATGGAAATCATAACAATTTTAAATACTCTCCCCTGAAGACCAGGGAATATTTCTAGCGGGCTTTAAATATATTTGGAATAATGATAATAAGCTAGGTCTTTAAAGAGAATTTCAGGCATTTCCCCCTACAACACCCAGCAGAAAAAAATCTTGCTTGAACAAGTTTTCTGTGACTGACTGTGGAAACTTTCATAAAACACGAAACAAGAGTATAAAAATTTAGCAGATGACAACTTGCTGTAGCAACCATTTGTGTATGTATTTCTTTAGGACACAGAGAGTTCAGCTTACTATTGAAAAGAGTGTATTAGTAATGGGGTAGAAATTCTTCTACCTAAATATGCATGTTGGGCTGCGTACTGTAAGTTTTAATAATCTTGGCTAAAACGTTGATTTTAGTTATAGAATGAATTATTGTGTTCCATATGACAAATGCTAGTAAGCTTGGATATCCCAGGACACAAAGTGGTCCAGATCCTGATGAGAACGTGGGCAGCTGCTTACCGGGCCCTGAGGACCTCCATCCTCCCTGTCGATGCTGCCTCGAGAGAGCCGCACGTCAGGTTTCTACAGAAACGAAAGCAAACCGAACAGTTTCATTCTTGGTTTGAAAATCACTGACATATTTCTGTACTAAGTTTCTTCCTTTTGTAACACAACTGTCCTCTGAACAAGAAGAGTTAAAAGTTCCCCAGTTTCACAAAAATTCTCAAAGCCCAGTGGTGACAAGCCCAGGTCAACTGCCCCAGCAAAGCCCCTTTCTCCGCACATGTGTATAGCTAACAGGACTGGCACCTGTGCCCTGACCCCATACGACACATGAAGATGTGCACTCCACCTCTCTTCCTAGCAGCAAAGCGAGTTTTCTTCACCTAGAAAATCCCCACCCCAGGAGGAGGCACCAATGCCCGCCTCCTGGCAGGTTAAGGCTTATATGTACTTGGCTGTCTTGCCAAAGCAGCAAATGGTCCAGTGACAAGTTTTCCCCCGGCACTGCATCCAGAAGTCTTGACTTAATATAAGTAAGAGTAAATGAATTTCACTAACATAAGATTAACAAAGTAGGCCACATGCTGTCAAGGTGTGGAGCTTGGTAGGTTTTCTCCTCGTGAAAGCAATGCTGTGAGGTGGCCCCAGCCTGCCCCACGATGGCATGGATTTCACGGAGTCACCAGGCAGCCACACTGACTCCTGCCCCCTGCCCCCGCCAGGCACACTGGCTGACCGCTCATCTCTTAGTCTCTGCCAGTCTGCTGTATCTTACAGACCCTCTATTTGGCAGAGATCAGGCAGTCACAACTTCCTTGTTAGACAAAGAACGTCTTGACATTTGATTCGTCGTACTTTCTACACCTGAGGAGGGCCCAATGCTGAGGACACCAACCGCAAGCACCTGTCGGGTGTGTTGATGGAGAAACGAGCTTCGTCTTTCTTTTAAGTGTGTGTTTTCAAAAGTGAAACCATGTCATATAATTTCATAACCTTCATATAATATTATATAGTGGAAATTGGTAAAAACGTTAGAATACTGTATAATATTCCAGAGCATGAATGTTGTCACACACAGAGAAAGGTGGAAACAGCCTGGGCTCTGGCAGTAGCCATCGGGGTTCAGGTCAGCCTCCCGCCCTTGCCAGCTGTGTGACCCAGGCCTCAACTTCTTCATCTCTAAGATGGGGCGATAACAGCACCTGCCATGCACTGCCCCAATCCTTGTCAGGATTAAACGAGTTAATATTGGCAAAGTACTGAGTCACTGCCATGTACGTGTCAAGTAGAATAAACAGTTATCCTGCTGTTTGTTGAACATTTGGGCCATTTTCAAAATTTCAACTGTATAAATAGGCTGTGGGTAAACATCTTTGTACACAAATCTTTGACTAAATTCCTGATTAGTTCCTGGGGACAGATTTCTAAGAACTGAATTACTGAGTCACAGGGTTTAAACATTTGCAAAATTGAGCGTATCAGCTGCCAAACTGGTCCTGCCTTGGTCCGCGATGGACTGTGCCCCAGCACTGCTGGACTTCACTTAAAATTTGCAGCCAATCAATAAACAAAATGCCACCTGTTGCAATCTGCCCCTCCCGCTTCCTTAAGTAGTAGAATGTCTGTTTCTCCTCTCACAGATGCTAAGCTGCCTTGGACAAGGTTCACCTCTCCTAACCCATTTCCTCACCCACACAGTTACTATAAGGATTAAGTAAGTGCTTGGCACAGAAATGTGCACATATGAGATGGTTAGTAAATATGTGCTGAAGGAATGCATTAATAAAAATGCAAAGGAGAAAAGATTTTACAGAGGAGGAACGTGAAGCTTAGAAAGGCAGAACCGGTTGCTACAGGCGACACGAGCTGGATTCAATCAGGCAACAAATATTTAGTGAGTATCTTCTGTGTGCGGAAAATATTTTATTTTTACGTTTTTACTTAAACAAAAGCTGTTCATACACTGTTTGCTTATTTATAGAGTAAGGTGCTGGGTTTCATGTATTTACATGAATTATCTATTTTTACTTTCATATAAAATACATGAAATGGCTTATTTTTCTTTATGCACAACAACTCCCCAATGATATACTTTTCCAAAGACAGAGTTTCAATCTTTTTTTTTTTTTTTGTGGGACACGGGCCTCTCACTGTTGTGGCCTCTCCCGTTGCGGAGCACAGGCTCCGGACGCGCAGGCTCAGCGGCCATGGCTCACGGGCCCAGCCGCTCTGCGGCATGTGGGATCTTCCCGGACCGGGGCGCGAACCCGTGTCCCCTGCATCGGCAGGCGGCCTGTCAACCACGGCGCCACCAGGGAAGCCCCAGCGTTTCGATCTTAAAGGAGGCCTATCTATGTAAAGTCCACTTGTGTTCCATGAATAGAAATATTTAAGCATTTTCCTCATATAGTCGACAGAGCCTGTCTGCATAAAAGTGTCATGCTGGGAACTAAAGAGCAATCTAGCCAAAGACAGCCTGTCAAAAAGAAGAGATTCTATTATTGTTTCTGCTACTGGGTGAAGCTAAATTCTCCTGTTTTCCCCTTACAGAATATTCTAGATCTCTAGCCCTCTGGGGCCCACAACCAGCTGCCCCAGGACCCAGCCCCTCTTATCAGCAGGCTGGCAGCCACTGGACAAGGCAGGGCCAGGCAGCCAACAGGGCTGGGCCAGCCTCACCTACCAGCTGCCCACGGTAGCTGGCCCAGCCACAGCAGAAGGACCCACACAACCCACACATGGGACAAAAGCATACAGCTCTGGTGACCAAAGGGGAGGGTGCTGCTGGGTTCCATAGGATGCCTCTTACATAAGGCCACTTCTCCAAGATTGAAAAAATGTAACTGACCCTTCCTAATACACAGAGGTAAACACAGAGAATTAGGCAAAATGAGGAGACAGAGGAATTCCAAATAAAAGAATAAGACAAAACCCCAGAAGAAGAACTAAGCAAAGTGGAGATATGCAATCTACCGAAGAAAAAGTGCAAGGTAATGATCATAAAGACAGTCAACAAACTTGGGAGAAGAATGGGTGAACACAGTGAGAGTTTAACAAAGAGTCAGAAAATACAAAGAAGCACCCAACAGAGCTGAAGAATACAATAACTGAAAAAATACACTAGAAGGAATCAACAGTAGACTGGATACAGAGGAATGGGGAACGGATCAGTGAACTGGAAGGCAGAGTGGTGGAAATCATCCAAGATAAACAGAAAAAAGAAAAAAAAAAAAAAAAGAGGACAGTTTGAGACCTCTGGGACAACATCAAGCATACTAACATTCAAATTATAGGGGTCCCAAAAGGAGAAAAGAGAAAGGGGTGGAGACCTTATTTGAAAAATATCACAGCTGAAAACTTCCCTAACATGGGAAGGGAAAGAGACATCCAAGTCGAAGTACAGAGAATCCCAAACAAGGTGAACCCAAAGAGGTCCACACTAGACACATAATTAAAATGGCAAAGACTAAAGATAAAGAGAGAATCTTAAAACCAGTAAGAGAGAAGCAACTTGTTACGTACAAGAGAACTGCCATAAGACTATCAGTTGACTTTTCAACAGAAACTCTGCAGAGGCCAGAAGGAGTGGAACCATACATTCAAAATAATGAAAGGAAAACACCCACAACCAAGAATACTCTACCCAGCAAGGCTATCATTCAGCTTTGAAGGAGAGATAAAGAGTTTAACAGACAAGCAAAAGTTACGTAAAAGAGTTCAGCACCACAAAACTGGCTTTACAAGAAATGTTAAAGGGACTTCGCTAATCAAAAAAGAAAAGACCATAACTAGAAATATACAAATTATGAAAGGAATTCCCTGGTGGCACAGTGGTTAAGAATACGCCTGCCAATGCAGGGGACACGGGTTTGAGCCCTGGTCCAGGAAGATCCCCATGGAGCAACTAAGCCCACGTGGCACAACTACCGAGCCTGCGCCCTAGAGCCCATGAGCCACAACTACTGAGCCCACGTGTCACAACTACTGAAGCCTGAGTGCCTAGAGCCCATGCTCCGCGACAAGAGAAGCCACCAGTGAGCCTGCGCACTGCAAGGAAGAAGAGCTCCCGCCTGCCTCAACTAGAGAAAGCCCGCGCAACAACGAAGACCCAATCCAGCCAAAAAAATAAATAAATAAAATAAAGTTTCCTTTAAAAAAAAAAAGTATTAAAACAAACAAACAGGGGCTTCCCTGGTGGCGCTGTGGTTGAGAGTCCACCTGCCGACGCAGGGGACACAGGTTCGTGCCCCGGTCCGGGAAGATCCCACGTGCCGCGGGGCAGCTAGGCCCGTGAGCTATGGCCACTGAGCCTGTGCGTCCACAGCCTGTGCTCTGCAATGGGAGAGGCCACAACAGTGACAGGCCCGCGTACTGCAAAAAAATAAATAAATTAAAAAAAAAAAATAGAACTATCATATAATCCAATAATTCTAGTTCCGGGTATTTTTCTGAAGAAAACCAAAAAACTGCTTTGAAAAGATATATGCACCCCTACGTTCACTGCAGCATTATTTACAATAGCCAAGATATGGAAGCAACCTAAGTTCCCACTTATAGAGGAATGGATAAAGAAGGTGTGGTACATATACACACAATGGAATATTAGCTGGCCGTAAAAAAGAATGAAATCTTGCCATTTGCAACAACACAGAGGGTATCATGCAAAGTGAAGTCAGTCAATCGGAGAAAGACAAATACTGTATGATTTCACTTATATGTAGAATCTAAAAAAACAAAAAACAAATAACCTCCCCAAAACCAAATGAACAAACAGAACAGAAACGGACTCACAGGTACAGAGAACAGGTGGTTGCCAGAGGGGAGGGGTGGGGGGGGATGAGTGAAATAGGTGAGGGAGATTAAGAGGGACAAACTTCCAGTTATAAAATAAATGGGTCAATGAGATGTAATGTACAGTGTGGGGAATGGATTGGCTAATATTGTAATAACTTTGTATGGTGACAGATGTAACTAGACCTACACTGATGATCATTCTGTAATATATAAAAATATTGAATCACTATGTTGTACACCTGAAACTAATATAATATTCTAAGTCAATTACACTTCAAAATAAA